AACAAGTGCATCGCTTCTAGGAACAAGTGCCTTACTAGTAGTAACAATGTTCGCTACGAACGGGGCTCCCATCCCTAGTAGGAGCATTCTTACTTGTCTCTCGGTGTGGTCACACTTGTGGTCACATACTGGTCGCTGGTTGGGGTGCCAAGCTGGGGAAAGGTCGGGCGTCCCATGGTCAAGTCCTGAAGTGGCAGCGACGGGCATCAAATGGCATCGACAGTGGCATCCACTTCTCTCTCTCTCTCATTGCATGTGCCAGAAAAAAGGATAAGAATCACATGCGAATGATAAGAATCGGGCCCCTCTGCGGTGGTCCACACCAATTTGGCACTTACAAGGCGCAAGGATTTGCTGGAGCCATGTGCTCGACAAGTCCAAGAGCTGTCAAGAGGATATGAACTGTTCTTCTACCGTTTTAAGGCCAGTCCTAAACTCCTTCCTTGAAGGCCCTTCACTCACACAGCAACACTCCTTCTTTCCACATGTACGGCACATCGAGTGCCAGTCGGACATGGTGAAACAATGAACGCAAACGTGTAAACTCAGTGAAACAAAAACACTTTCACAAACGAAAACAGTCGAATCACTTTCTCATCAACCTCCACTTTCATTCATCACTCCTTCTCCTTCCAAGCAGCGTCAAACCGGTCCATGACAGAGGGACTGCTGCCACCTGCCATTTTGAAGCTCCACTTGATCAGACTATAGTGCTAGAGTTCTTCCTGTGAAACACGTGATCACTTCACGACCTTGGAGTCCGCCCAGGGGTTCCAGCTTGATTCCAGCCTGCGCAGCTGAGACGCTCCAGGGTCCAGCCATGTCGTGTCGTGTCACTCGCCTTCACCTTCACATGGCCTTTGCCAACCTGAAATTCGGAACGAAAGGAGAATGCAAAATGACACCAATGTACCAAGGAACCCTAGTAACACTGTTCGCTACTAGGGTTCCTGGCCTTACTACTAGTAACAATGTTCGCTACTAGGGGCTCCTGGCATCACTACTAGGAGCAAGAACTATTTGTCTCTCCCCTTCTTGCCTCTCCGGGCTCTCCAAAACCTGCGTTTGAAAAACTCGAAATCGAGGAACCTTTTGATTCGGACAGAAACTGTTAAATCGCGTACTTAACGAAGTTGTTACTTAACTGAGTTACACTCTAAGTTACTTCTTATGCTTGTGTGTTTCTATCTTTGTTTTCACCAGAAAATATGATTGCCAGAGCGAACAATTTCCCGTGGGCGTTAAAGAGAGCTCCCTGAAGAGGCTTGAATAGCAAAATGCTGCAAAGCTTGGGCTGCTGGTGGAACAGCGAGTGGCAAAGTTGGAACAGAACGAGGCAAGTCCACAAGGAACAGTGTGCGGTGCCACCTGTTTGATCCGGAGGCGCTAGGTGAGTGGAGCTGCCTCCGCGCATCGGATGGACGGTGTGACCTTCGGCACCTTTTCCACGGGGGCGGGCGATCCGACCGACCTGTGTAGCACAGGCTCAAACCGGAAGTGAGCGGCCTTCGCGCCGAAAAAGCGAAGGAAAAAGTCAGACTTTCTCCATGCGCTGGGCCGCCAGGCCCACTTTTTCTGGAAGGGACAGCAAACACTTGTCCTAGGACGCTGCTAGGAGCAAAGTGCATCGCTACTGGGAGCAAACACGCTAGGAACGGGGCTCCTGGCCCTAGTACCAACGGAACAAGAAGCAGCAAACACTTGTCCTAGAACTAGAAAACAACTTGATGTGGTTTGCACGATGCCCACGCCCCGAGGGAAAGGCGGCATTCGGACAGGCACAGGGCGGATGGACTAGCGACAGCAGAGAACAAAGCAGTTTTGGATGTATCTGACTCTTAAAAGCAGAGCAGCAAAGGACACACTGCTCGATTCGTGCTCCCTTACAAATTCCGAAGTGTTCCTTGTCTAGAGCACCCACTTGCTGATGGTGTGTGTGAGGTCTATTGAAAAGAAAGGCGCGCAAACCCGGTCATGGCGGCCTTTTCAGGGGGATGCGCGAAAGCGCAGTTGGCTTGGGCCCTTTGGCGTCGGTGGTACACAGACCTGATGGTTCAATGACGTGAGGCCTCATGCCATGCTAAATTCACACTGGAAAAACTTTCTTTTGAACCATCAGACTAAGCTGTATGAGTGGTCTCTGTAGCCACTGGATCAGCTTGTCTCGAAGATCATTGGAGATCTTCGTGAGGGAATCAGCCATTTGAAGGCTGGTAGGAAGCCAGTGAATGGTGTTTCGATTCACCACCTCTTGAGTCGATCTGATGTTCACGAGGCTCCGTTTATCTTCCACCGTAGGGCTCGGCGAGCTCACGCTGTCGTACAAGCTCTTGCAATCTGTAGCCAGCAGGGCTCGAAGCCGAGGGCCAACTCTGTGAGCTGGAATGCCAAAAACGATCTCACCCAACGTGTACCGAAGAAAGGCCAGGCGGTCAGCGGCGCTGTCTGCTGAAACTGCTTCTGCCGTGAGGGTGCTCCTGCATACCCTCTTAGATCTGGAACTCTTCCAGTCTGCAAGCCCACCATAGCAAATCTTCTCACTGACAGTTGCGGGTGCGAGGAAAAGCCATTCTCCATGTTCGCTGGCCGAATTTTGGGCAGGCCATGATGACTGTGCTGTCATCTATCGGGACAGGAAAAAGGCGCAGTCCCAAGGAGGCGGTGTCCTTCACGTGCTGCAGGGTCTGGTACAAGTAGTCCAAATCTCCATCGGTCGTGTCCTGACCTTTGTTCGACAGGCTGACTGCCGAGGAGATGTCCAATCTCGTTTTCCCCACCAGCCACTGAAGGCATCCGCTTATGGAGCGGAACTCAGGCCAATGTTCAGGAGACAGGATGTCTGTCTTCTTGACCTTCTTGCTGATGCGGCCCATCTCAAGCCCTTCGATGAAGGTCTGCTGAACGACGCGGAGGGTCTGCAACTGACCTGTCTGCTCCAAATGAATCTCTTGGCCTTTGAAAATCAAAAGCTTGCCTTGTTCCAGGAATTGCTGAGCTCCCCATTTGAGCGCCCAAAAACTTGCCAAAAGGAAATGACTCGTTGAATGTCAGCAGAAAATCATCTACGTAGCAAATCAACACTGCTGCAGGTGCTGGGAGGTTGTTGGGATCAGGAAACAAAAACATCATATGATCGAAGCTGTGCATCGTGAATCCCAACTTCAGCAATCGGCTGGAAACTTGTAGGGAGCGTTGCTGAGCCCGTGCACATTTCCAGTTATCTCGTAGAGATCGCTCTGAAACACCCTGGCTCGGACCAAAAGAGGGTCCCGTGGAGCCTTGAGGTATAGCTTGCCAGCACGCTCACTCAGATCTTGACAGCCTTGCCGGAAAGCTGTGGAAACGTCTCCTGCCCACATCTTCCACTTTGAGGTGGAGTGGAAGGCCTCTGGTGGAGGCCTGAAAGGAAGATCAGGTAGGTGAGCATCTCGCTGATCCTTGAGGGTGTTGGTGCCTGTCGTGTCAGTGCTCGAAGGTCTGGATCTTGGTTCCTGCGTGCAACAATGCGGGTTTTGGCTTTGAGCGGTGGCACGTCCTTGTTTTTGTCTCCATAACAGGCACGGCTGGTGATGACTCGCTTCTTCAACTCTGGGTCAGCTAGGATCTTCTCAGTCACATCTGGTGGCACTGGCTTGAGCGATTTCCATTCCATGAAACTGGTCTCTTCTTTCTGGGCACTTTTGATGAACTCCTGGATGTAGTCCTCAGACTGAGACAAAATGTCTCTATAGCTCAGTTCTTTCTCGATGGCCTTCTTTTCTTGTCGAATCAAACGCTTGTCATTCTTGTAGTCCTCGACATCCGTCTCGGAATCGCTAGGCCTGCTCAAGTTGTCTTCGACAGTGGCAGCAAGCTCTTGGGCGTACACCTTGTAATAGGCCTTGGTTGATGGCATGGCGTTCTCTTCTGAGCCATCCCAACCTGCTTCGATCTCCTGGATCGTGCCATCACGGTAGTGATGCCAAAGCTGGTGGTAGCGTATGCCAAAGCTCTGTGACGACGTTCCGAGGGCCATCAAAGGTGAACTTGCCGTCATCATCATCTTCTGGTTTGATGGCGCCCTCTTCGATGAGCTCATTGGTGTTGGCATCAACTGTTCTTCGCCATTTGACATAGTTCAAAGGCGGTCCGCTGGCCAAGCTAAGCTGAGGTTGTGAAACACAATTCTTGAGGTTGAGGGGTTGTGCAAAGGCGCTCTCATAGCCGAAGAGTTCAAAAGAACCTTGTCCAGCTTTCCGGGCGGTGATGTCTGTCTTCAAGGCATGAAATGGCCTTTTTGGCAGAAGGTGGGCAAAGGTTCATCGCCCAAGTCGTCCGGTGTCACGGGCGCCACTCTGGTCAAATCACAGGTCGACTGGCTCTTGCTCTGGTAGACCTTGAAGCGGTGGTGTCACTGGGTTGCGGGGTGTGAGCCACCCGACCCTGCTATTAGGCACGCCAGTTTCACCACCTGGATGTTGTGCTGATGGTTCCAAAGCAGGTGTGTCTGGTGCGACTTGATCTGCAAATCTGCAAGAGCTTCTTGACCTGAAGGTGCAAGCATGTAAGGGTCTGTGAAGGTGCCCTCACGTTCAAGTCTCTTGATCGAGGTAGGAGTTCTCGACCTGTCTGGTCTTGATCTTCGGCTGGGTGTGCAAGGAGCTGGGAGCGGTGTTGATGTGCTCGCAGATGCTCTGCCGAAGATGTTCTGTATAATCTTCTGCTTCATGTGAATCACCCTTGATGGTGACACTGGTTCTTGTGGGTCTTCAGGTGGTGCAGGTCCTGAAGGTCTGGTCTTTGGAAGCGTCAACTCTTTGGCCTCAGGTTGTGGTTCCTGGGGCTGACTCACCAATGGCAGCTCCATTGTTGGAAACTCCTGGTCAGGCTCTTCAGGTGGTTGTGCTTCCAAAGGAATGCGGTCATCAGACCGCCAAAGATCATCTCTCAGATTTTGTTCGGCCTGCTGCAAAGACTTGATGTCCTGTCGGCTTGGCACATATTCCGATGTCCTGTCGGCTTGGCACATATTCCGATATCCGCCACGTTTGCGATGTGAGCGGACTGTCCACCTCCAATAGGCCAAAAGCGACCCAGGAGCTGGATCCATGATCGGTTGCGCATTGGTCTTGCCGAGCAAAGCCCTTCTCAGTGTCGATGAGGCAGTGGCTTCTGCAATGGCCTTGTAGGCTTCACATCTCATCATAGCAGCTTGTTGCTGCATGTCGGACCGGGCGGATCCTGCAACTAGAGCTCGAGGATCGATGATGAAGTCCAGTCCAATGCGAGGTATCTTTCCAAAGGCAGCGATGAATGGAGGTCTGCCTGAGCTCCATGTGGCTGCGTTCTTGGCGTACAATGCTGACACGATGGCATTGTCGAGCTCCTCTGGTGAACTGCAGGGAGTGCATGCGGAGGGTGTCATTGTGTCTTTCTATGGTGCCCAGCTTGTAGTGGGCCTCTGGTGGAATGAAGTCCACAAATGTGCCACCTTCATCGCAAAAGTTCATGAAGTCAGACTTGAATGCACCATCATCGTCAACAGACAAACGAAGCGGGAAGCCGAAGTTGCGAATCCAAGCTTCTCGCAGTGCCTTGGCCACATGAATGGGCTGTCTTGACTCCAAGCGAATTGCAGCATGTAGATGCGTAGCCTCACAAATCATGCCCAGGATGGGGTAGTTCTTGGATGACATGTCTCGCAGGTAGAAGATGTCTGCTTGGACATGATCAGCAAATTGCCCAAGATACTGCAGATGCGAGGATGCTGGATTCGGTGGCTTTGGTGGCTTTGCCCTTTGGCACGCTGAGCAAACCATGGCTTTTGTGGCTTTGATCACCTGGTCACTGGTGATGCCATTGAGTGCAAGCAGCTTGAGGATCTCTGCTGGTGGCAAATGGCCGATGTTCTTATATGCATCCTTGCAACTGCTGCTTTGATCGAGCGATCAATGTTGGAGGTGTTTGGGAAGAAGATCTCGTCGTGGAACACCTCTTTTGTAGGATTTGCTCTCTGCAGCTGTTGCTCTGGATCCTGGTCTTGTAGATGAGCTTCTTCACCAGGTATGCGGATGTCCTCATCTGCTGTCTGAGGTGCAACTTCTCTCGGCCGATGTACTTCAGGACTTGACCTCGGCGTGTGTGAGGCACGTGCTGTGGCATTGGTTGAACAAGTGGTCTCCAGGCCAATTGAAGCCGCGTGATCTCCCATGGTAGTAGTGCTTGGATCTGGCTGTAGAGCTGGTCATGCTGCTCCAAGATGATATTGCTTGTGCTGGATGAAGTAAACAGCAATCTAGCACGGGCGATCACGTCTTGCCACTTCTCTTGGTCTGTGTCTGGCTGGGAGAAGGATGCATAGACCTTCTTGATGCTGAAGCGAGTGGGATTGTGCAACTTGGCCACATATCTCACACCCTGGTTGAGGGTATTCGTGAGATTGGGTAAGGTCTTTTCCCTCAAGTGGCACACACTGCTTCAGTTCTTCAGCCGTCAACTTGTCACTGAGGTAGTGCAAAATGTCTCTGTTGTTTGATGCGAATTGGAAGGTCTTCTTGATCATCTGACCTTTGGTGTTCTTGGCTCCAGAAGCACCTGAGTGGCAGGTCACAAAGAAGGCCTTGGTGTCGCTCAGCATTGCTTGAACTGACTCCTCTTGCCAGAGACGACTGGTCAATGGATTCTCCAAGAGGTAGAAGTGTCCTGCTGCATGTTGGGTTTGACACCATTGCATTGCTTCTTCGACCACGGGCCGTTCTAATGCTCTTCTTGCTTCAAGCTCCTCAGGGCGGTTGACGTAGTTGATGTTGTCCTGCATCAAGAGCCATGGAGTGCAATGAAGCTGAGCTATCAAAAACAGTGGTCGAAGCTTCTCTTTTGGATCTGTCTCACTCGGGCTTGATCGGCAGCTGTGGCGAGGTCAAAGCCGGTGTTGTAGTCAACTGGTGTGCACGCTGAGAGTCCATGCCTTGGAGCTTGTGAAGAGATCAAACCTCGGCCTGCGAAGACTTCCAAAATGGCCGTCCTCGACTGCATTGTCCGATGCTTTGTAGCTAAGGCCTCATAGATTGAGCTCTGTCTCAGCCGCATGCTTCGCCTTCTTGATCTTGCCGATCAGCTGCTTCTTGAATCCAGGCTTCATCGAAAGAGAGCTGCTGGCGCTCCCTGATCGATCCACTCCTGAGTTACTGCCTCGTGATCGGCCCATGCCTGATCCGGCACCATCGATGGAGATGGAAGGACCGATGGAGAGCGGAAGGTCTGATCCTCCCAACGCCAGTCCTCGTCCAAGCTGTTCACGTCCGTGTGACTCATAACTGTCTCCTCGTCCGAGTGGATGACCATTAAGGGTGTCGAACGCATCCTCGAACCCTGGCGAGAAGAGGTTGAACTCGGTGGAGGAGGAAGCGGGGAAGGCTGAGTTCGCGCTGACTGGATCGGCTTGGCCTTGCTCTTGGCTTTGGGCTGAGTGGCTCGCATGGCCGTCTTGCTTGAGACCGATACCGGTTGCGAGATATTTGAAGAGGATGGCTGCGGCAAGGAAGATCTTTGCGATACCGACCATCCAGCTGAAGCCTCCCAAGTTTGCTCTTCCGTGTTCACTTGACCCTGGTGTGGCATAGGGTGCATGTCGCGTAGGAACCGTACTTGTTCCCGTGGCGTTTCCACTCGGGATGTGAGCATTCCTTGGGCATGTTCACCGGTTCTCGCTTCATGCGAGCCACCTGCTGGTCTGCCTCTCGCTGGTGAATCTCTCTTGCAGCGTCACCCATGCCCTGTTGAAGGGTTTGCAGCCGAGCCTCACCATGCTGGACATCCAATGGAGTGTAATCCACTCCAGGCTGAGAAGTGCCTGAACGACACGGCGCCAAGCTTGCGTCCATCTGGTAGGAGC